TCCTGCTGGTAAGGAATCAGACCTGTGGGAGGCTAGAGATGTTTCTCCTTGAAGTTGGGCTATTAAGAGTTCATGTCATTGCTTCTGTAGGAGCATTTTGACTGTTGCTTACAGTGTAGAGCCTATTTGTGCCTCCTATAGGAGTGAACAGTGGTGGTGCGAGTACTTTTGTACCAGTACACAACTGCTTTGATGCTCTCGGATTGCGCTGCCCAGGCAAGTCTTTGCCACGCAGCTGTCACAGATGCTGAGCTCTTGACTACCCCTCACAACTTCTGACCAGGGACATGGTTTTGAAACAACAGCTTACAGTGCTTTCATTTGCGTCAGAGCTGTCTTGGGGCACACATTTTTTTCAGCTCAGTTTTGTCCAAGAGAGGGGATTGAAGAGTCAGCCAAAAGCTCTTCAAGTGCTTGTAGCCATTCAGACCAGAGAGGGGCAAGTCCAATATGAACCCTCCAAAATAAAGCATAGCTATTGGGTACTTGGCACTAGCTGCTTCACTCTACACATCTGCTCCTGTTAAGTTTACTAATGCAAATATAGCTGAAGAATTCTGAGTTACAGCTCACTAGGTCCACCTCTTGCTCCACGAGGCTTTGGCTGTTCAGTTGTCTGAAGTTCACAGCAGCATTTCACTATTTTTCTGCAGGCTATTTCCAAATAGAGGAAATTTGCAATCAGGTAAAGCAACCTGAAGGGCATCACATAACCACTGTGATACCAAGACATATTTACTTTGCAGAAGAACAGAATGTAGATAACATTTAAGAGCATCTCAGGATCCTACAAGTCTACATAGTGATGAAAAATCAGCCGGTTTTCAAATGTTACTGCCCTACTCGTCAGTAAGTTGTTGTAGAAAGCTGACCCATGGTCTTTTCAAGGGCAGTCACACTGGTGGTTGCATGAGACAGTGGGGCATTTCATTAAACACTCCATACAAAAGGATGTGTTCAGCCTTGACTGCACAGAACTTGCAGCCCAGGGCAGGTTTTGAATCTATTTGTTTCAGCCACAGTTGGGTCCAGGTTCAACCTAATGAACCTGGATCCCAACAGACCCATATTGTCCCTGCACAGATAGGCCATTCACTCATTAGCAGTGTCCTTTCAAAATACAGATGCTTAAAACAGCAGTCTCATTTTTAAAGGGTCCTTAAAATGATATAATATTGGGAGAGATTCAGAGGCGAGAAACAAGAGTGATTGCAGGTGTGGAACAGTTTCCATACCAAAAGTGACTAAGGTAGAACTCCTAAGTCTGAAAAAGAAATTCTTTGGGGGAGATACAGTACAGAAGTCTATGAAATTATAGACTGCATGCTGGAAGAAGTTTTCCCTGACTCTTCCGGTACCAGAGATATATGGTGTCAAGGGAGGTCAGTAGGAGAATGAGCTTCAAAGTAAATATGAGATGGTTCTTCATATCTGTTGGTAGCACACCTGGGGAACTCCTTTCCCAAACACGTGGTAGATGGTAAAAGCTAACAAAGCTGCAAAAACTGACAAAAGAAAAAGCCACCAAAGCTGCTACCAAACGGAAGGAACGCACTGCGTTCGTGCCCAATAAGGAGGCTACTGTAGCATAAGCAAAATACCTGCATCTGCAATGCCACTCACTGCTACCACAGTTTTCACTAGACCAGATGTTTCCTATTTCTCATCAGACCCCAGCATGAGCTGCGTGTTAGCCAAAACCTAAGCAGAAGTTGAGCGAGCAGTCATGAGGGGTCCCTTTTATTCCCAGACTAATACTGCGGAGGCCAGATAAACACAACCAGGTTTGGGCTGGGCTGCAGGTGGCGTAAGGGAATGGCTGAGCTCAGGCTGGCTCTCCTTACAGTGCATGCTTAGCCATGCAGTTGGTTTGCAACTGCTGCATGCCTCGCAGTGCCCACGTTTCCAGCACCCAGCCCTCATTCTGGCTTTCCCTTCCCCAAGATTTGCCAGCCTTGCAGACAAAGCTTGCTCCTGAGCCTGGCCACAGCCCTCAGCAGAGGCTTACAGACCCACCTGCGAAGGGGCTGAATTCCTGTGCTGCCAGCCCACGTCCAGCTCCAGGAGCTGCCAGGAGGTTTGCCGCTGCCACCAGTCTTTCCCATCAATTCCCTGCATTAGGCAATGCAGTCTTGGGGCCTTCCTCTCTTATAGCTTTCTCTTCCCACCAGGAATCTTCCCTTTGCATCATTTTGACCAAGTTTTTCCCTTTTTACCATGCAGTCCTTGTTTTCTTTCTTCGGTATTCGACTTAGCCTTTTCAACTTTGCCTTTAATCACTGAGTAAATCCCTCTCACCTGTGTGTCAAAACCTCCCCGCTTCTCTCAGGCAGTGTCTTCCATTACAGGTGCTACTCCAATGTGTGTATCACACCCGTACTCAGAACCAGCTATCACAACAGCTCTGATATAGAGGACAATCCATCTCCTTCTATCAACACTCGCAGTATACTTTGACTTTCCTCTTTCATAATGGGGCTATTAATTTTGGTTTGAACAACCCACTCTGATCTGGTCATCTTCCTCCATTGCACCATCACTCAAGGTCAGAATCTAGCACCAATGGCCTCCACCTCCTCCTCAGGGGAAACGAGGACTAACATGAAAGCAATATGCTGAGGAAAGGGCAGTATGTAAGTCCCCAGCAGGAGAAAAGGGTGGAGGGCAGAGGGTGTCACCCCTTTGGCAGAGCATTTATTGATTAGTTTCAGTTCAAATCATCACTGGCAGCACCAGTCATTAGAAAAGCCAATGTTCAGTCACATTCTCTCATTCTGGTCCGCAAATAAGGTGTTGCCATTGCTTGTGAAAGGTCACAGCTTGGTGATAAACCAGCAGCACAGGCATCAGGACTTGTGAAGCATTTTCTGTGCTTTGTTTAGCTATAGCAGCAATTATCTGATGACCTGATGTCTACTACTGACTTTGGTTTAGCTTTTGCTTTGCGTTATCCAATTGCATGGTGAAATGTTTAATGTTATATGTACTTTCTGTAGCTAATAGACAGTAACAGCAGGTAGTTATTCTGTGTAGAATGAACTATTTATGACCCCAAAATAAAATGCAGCATAAAGGATCTGTAGCACGGGATGATAACAGGGGCCCTGGCAGTACAGGTGTAGGATGATGTTGGAGGCCCCAGGCCACAAATCGCTTACCAGTGGTTAACTACTGATCATCAAAGGGTGCAACCTGAGCAGGTGGGTAAGACAAATTTTAGATGTAACAAGGGAGAATAAACAATGACTACCCAAGATACATAAAATGCATCACATAGAGCAAATCTGGATCTACTATGGAGCTGTGAACCAATGAAGAAAGAACAAGCAGCATGTAAAAATGACATCTGGTGGCTCATACAGCAAGAAGGAAGAAATTTTCAGTTATGTTTGTCCCAGCAAACAGGAAGAGAGACTCTCCCCACTAGTGTCAGACTCTGCTTGGTGGAGGACCTGGGACAATGACGACTTGCTGTTATACACGCTCCCACCCTGGACTAAAGACGTCAGAGGGTCAGTGTAGCAGTGCATGTAAGAGCAGACAAAAGGGAGTATGCTAGAAAGTTTAAGTGCGTCAGTTTTACCTGATGGAAATTGGACTATAAGTGTTAGTATCATTGCAAGAAAAATACAGGAATATAATTTCATCACCTAATTATCTTGGCTAATAATAATTCTTTGATTAGATTATTTTTAATGACTAACAATATATTCTTCCTAGGTTTGCAGGTGAGGTGTGTTTCCTTTCACCCATATCAAGATTTTGAATCTGACAGACTGATGGGAATTGAAGCAACCTGCTCTGTAGCTTGGATGTAGCCAGTTGGTAACAAATAAGGCATGCTTTCAGGAGCACACGGACTTTTGTTTGTACTTGGCTTCTCTGAGCTGCTGGAGCGTGGGATCTGCGGGGGCACGGGTTGGGTTTTGGACTTTTTCCTCCCCGGTCATCTCAGAGATGTGATGGTTCAGTTGTGGACACAAGTTCACCCCACTCAGAAAAGACCCTCAGCTGGAGAGTTTGAACTCAAACTCTTTTCAGATTCAAAGATCCTTCAGATCTGGGGTTTCCAATCTGACCTTATTATTGATTGATATTACAGCACTCACTGCTTCTTCAGTCAGATTTACCCATGATTCACACGAGAGCCCATCCACGGGGTGATGAGCAGCTGAAAACCTAGAGGCCATCCTCGTTTTTGTCCTTAGGTTTTTGTGAGCAATTCTGTACAGAGCGAGTGGGCTGGTGGTGCCAGGGGCTGTTGAAGTCCCTGAACTTCTCTTTACTTCAGTATACCCCTCTGTAACCTATCAATAAAAATTCTTCCTGTCTCCTGGTGAACATTGTTCCTCTTAATGACTGTTAGTAAAATGCCTTGAAATATTTAGTTGAGAGAAACACACTTTAGAAGTGGGATGTAGGTAAGGTTGCATTAGGAGCATACCAGCCACTTAATGGATCTGACATGTTAAAGCAGTTTCCAGGGGAATCTGGGAATTCTCTTTGCTGGCATTGCAATGTGCTCTGGAAATTGTCACCTTCTCCAGTGCATTAGGTAGTCAGTTGTTAAAACAGAAAGAAAACTGAAGGTAAATAGTTAGACTGAGCCTGTAAATGGTTGGTTGGTTGGTTGGTTTTTTAAATAAAGATAGGGCTTTCTCCTTAGCACGAAAAAAGGTACCTTTATTAGCATGGCTTAGAGGCAAATTTTTTAACTTTTACAATTAAGATGTAGCAAGTGGTGTCTATAGTGATACTACATAGAGGTGATTGATCAAAATACAGAACACAAGCGCAATCAGACATGCTTTATTTCAAATTCTTATTACACTGTGGTTATAAAAAGTCTGGAATAGAAAGCAGGTTTATATGCAAGAGCAAAAAATGGATAATTTTGTTAGATGATGTAGGCTCTGGTATGACTGCTTAATTACTTAACAGAGATTGTAACCTTGCATTTACGACACCCTGTTCAGTCCCTCATACCCCAGAGGACTTATTTGGGAGACTTTGACATTGCAGAGTTTCTATGTGGTCACATCAGCTGCACAAAATGAGCGTGTGCCCATGCCTGAAGTGGAAGCCCCCAAAAGTCTGGTGTTTCTGGGTCTGGAAGCACTCACTGAGTGTATGGGGTGGCATGCAACTTTGCTTTGTTCCGCATCTTTTTGTCAAAGAGCAGCCTGCATTTCTCCTCTCCCAGGACTTGCTTATTTCAAACAGCGGGTCACAGGTTTTGCAGGAGGCAGTGCGTGGCAAGAAGAGGAGCAGAAGACAAGTCATCTCCCTTGCTTTCTCACTAATGGGACCACAAAATGACACAGCCATACAGAGCACAATAAAGCCCCAGCATTTATTGAGCATGAGGCTCCTTTTAATGTCTTTGGAAGCTCAGTTAGTTCACTCATGCTGTCAGTATGGGACATGCTCTTAGACACTGTGGCCAGTGAAGAGAAGCTGCCGCAGCCTGTGGCACGTGCATCTTTGCCTTCAAAAAGATCCTGAGAAGAACCTCAGGGGAGATATAAAATGAAGACACACACACACACGTACCCCTGCTACCCTAGAACAACAAGGTATGTGGCTTAGGATGGAGCAGTACCTTGCATGGAAGACTAATGGAAACCACAGATTCAGAGCAGCTTCTGGGCCAGAAGGTCCTATGGGGAGGAGCGATGCTTTGGGAGGCCCCACTGCACCTCGCAGAGGAATATGCTGCGAGAAAGGCAGAGAGCAGACCCAGCTTCTGAGTTTCTGACTCTCAGGATACATCTTTATTCCTTTTCCAGCTGAGCTTCTGCCCCTGTATATTCCTGGGGTTGCTCATGTAACAGTACTTCATTCTGCTGTAGCCATGATTCCCGGGAACTTTCAGGCATGGCTTAGTCTAAACTCATCCCCAGGTGTTTAATCTGAACTCACCCTCAGCTCCAGGGCAGGATATTTGCTAGGCTTGTGGGGCTGGCAGGAGAAGACCCTCAGGCTGCCACCTCCGCTCCTCTCTCCTTCACCCCACTTATCAGCTGGCAGAGCCTGGGCAGCTTTGGGGCAGTGAACCCCCCGACACACACACACGTGCGTGGGAAATGGGTGACAGGGTGGGTTCAGGAGAAGAAAAGCCGGAAAAGGCTGAAGAGAGAACACACCATGCACAAGAGATGTGACCAGTAAACGCAAGTTTGGTGTGATCAGCTCTGAGCAGGGGCATGAAAAACTCTGGATTTTTTGTCAGGCAAGGAGAAGAACGGCCTATCAATAGCATACTGGGAGGGATGAGGGCATGAAATATAGAAGTCTGTATGTGTGGGTGCCTGCATGCATGAAAGAGTAGGAGAAAAAGCATGGGGAAGCAGCAAGAGGAAACAAGGAGCTGTGAATATTCTGGAGAGAACACATCGTGAGACATGCTTCCAGGAAAGCAAGCTCTCCATGAACTGGAAAATGATAACACTGTAAGATAAAGCAGTCCCTTTAGCTAGAAATACCTGTTTTTATTGCAGCCTGAATGATTTACCATAGGGTTGTGTAATTCAGTCTAAGAATTTATAACACTGGGTTCTTTTTTTTTCCTTTTCAGTGAAATATCAGGCCTTAATTAAAACTAAAGTTCAGACTACTTTAGTGAATGGAGCTTTTCAGATTCCCTTGAAGCACTAATGCAAAAGACCGTAAATACAAGTGAACGATAGGAATAATAGGGCCTAGAATTGCCTTTAATTATATGTATTTAATTTCAGATCATTCACTATCCAGGTGCTTTTTCATGTTCTCCCTGATCTTACCGATTAGTTGTCTTTATCAAATTTTGTTCAGCACAAGGATGACCAAAATAACAATAAGCACATTTCTACACCCCACTCCCCGCAATGTGATATTTTGAAATTTAGGTAAAGGAGAGATGAAGGCAGCATCTTGGTTCATGGTTTCTGAATCTGGACGTTCAGCTCACCATACACATGCCTCAAAGCATCACAATTCAGGCTTGCAATCAGCTTTCGTAACCCTGGTCGTTTTGGGATGCATTTTACTTCCCAGGTCAAGGTAGAGTTCTTTGGGATTTGACTGTAGGGAGAAAGGAAAGTAACAGTATTGTGATCAGTCAGCTGGCGCTCTCAACCTGCCCCACAACTGGAGAAAGTGAAGGTGGATGGTAGAACATGTTTCAGGTTTTCTATTTTTCACTCGTTCTCATAAGTGTCCTATAAATTATTCCCTCCATCTTCTATTCCTCTCAGAACTGACTCTGCCAAAGCCTTTTCTAGCCTTTCCTCCAGGCTAATTTTAAACTTCCAAAATGAATCCATTTTCTTCTGCCTCCTGTCACTTCCTCTCACAATCACTTTCAGAATTATCTTCTTTATAGCTAACATACTTTTTTTTTCTACTCTATAATGCCGTTTTACCTGTTTGTAGCCTGTTGGTGATTCCTTAAATGGTTAAATAAGTCCTTGTTGTGAAGTGTCCAGGGTATTCCCCTGCAAACCCAATGCAGCGCTGCTGAGATGCCGAGCCCCTCCGCCAGCTCCTACCCTGAACCACCCTGCCGCGGCTGTAACATCAGCAGATCTCCTCACTGGCCACATCAGATGGCTTCTTCATGTCCATACAAATAAGTCAAAGTGTTCTTGGGAGTCCTGCTCTTAGCAGTTACTCTTTTACATTACGTATGGCTCTTGATAACTCATACTACAAAGCAACTGTATTCTGTGCTGCTTTTGATTTTAAATTTTTGCTACAATTAAGATGCACGGAGAGCCTTAGGTATTGGGTTTCTGTGTTTTCTTGGTGCTTTCACCATGTTCTGTGTGCAGATTTTGAAGGCTGATATTGACTGATTGATTATGTTTGGGGGATGTCAGGATACAGCTACTCCAAAGGAACCAATGGAGAAGGTAGTGTAGTGGGGAGCTATTTATAAAAATGGGTGTTCTTTCCCTCAGCATTAAGTAAAAGGATTATGAATTTAGCCAGTGTTCTCATCTCGCATGTCTATGGTATTCTGCAAACAACTGAACAAAGTGAAGGTAAAGCAAGCCTAAACTTTAGTCACTGTTTCAAATTCTTATCTGGTGGGATTTGGCTCTCAGATGTCACGTCCTATGCCAGGGTCAGAACAGAAAAGACAGCCCAGGCTTAGCACAGGTTGCCAAAATGAAAGAAACCTTAATTAGCTCTAAATGAGCTAGCCTGGGATCCTCCCACCTGAATATTTGTTTCAGTGCAAGTCTGCCCCTGCTAAAATGAGAGGTATTCTAGCTCCGTAGGGGTTAGCTTAGGTATCTCTACATGGCACTGCATTGCATTTTGCATATACAGTCACAGGTACCCTGGGGCATGTACCCAGTTTTAGAAAAGAAAAAGCAGAGGAAGATCATATTTTTGGTGTGAGCATGTGCAGACCGCTTCCAGCAAGTGTTTTCCTTCTTTTTATCTTTGTTCTTAATGAGAGATGTTCTGTTCCCCTCAACTGGCTTGCCTGCTCCACCAAATACCCACTAAAATGGTAGCATAATAAAGCAATGACTTCAATTGCTGCACAAGGTTAAATACCTTTTTAAATTTAGAGTTTATGGGAATGATCTGCAAGGGACTATCTGTATGGAAAGCGAAAAAGATATTACACAAGTCTGCTGTGCAGCAAGGTTCAGTCTACTTTCTTGAGCACTTTGCGGGCCAGATTCTCTAAGGATGAAGGCTTCCAGACCATATCTTCACAGGGCTCCAGTAAGGGAGGGTAGCACTACCATCTCTGATTTATAGTTCTATCATCTCTGCATATATATATATATATTTATATATATAAGTGTGTGCAGGAAGACAAGAGCTCTCTACTGTCCTACTTCTAAACCAACTTGCTTCTTTTTACAAACGCTAATACTAGCTGAGATTTGACATGCAGGAACACCCAAAGTGACTTACCTGCTAGTGTGAATGCATGCTTGGCTAAAATCCTTTTAACACTATCCATCACTGCCTGGTTAATTCTCATTTGTCATGCAAGGACTATGCCCCATGTAGGAATTGCTGCTGCCAAAGGCTTTTCCATAAGTCATGTTCCTCATCTTTCTGAGGCTAATAGCTAAGTATCTATCTATCTATCTATCTAGTCTTATGAATGGTCAAGACTGAAGCCCTCAAAGCACTTCATTCCCAGAATAATGTTGTATCAGCTGGAATGCACATACCTGTTTTGTGGAGTCATCCAAGTGATACAGAAAAGCTACCTTAGAAATACAGAGAGGTCAAAAGTCTCATTCCCATGAAGAACTGCAGACGCCACATCCCATCTGCAACAGTCCCTGATGGACAGGGAAGCAGTGGAAGGGTGGGGAAAGCCTAGAATACATTTAATTCCCTTTGCAAATGGAGTAAAGCCACCCTAATCTGATTTTCCTGGGAGAGAATTCAGTGATGAATGGTTCTGCATAATATGCTGAGCCATCACCACACCAGAGCCATTTATCACTCTGAATGCATGGAGGCAAATGTGATTATTATTTAAATAAACTACAACTGCCCCTTGCTCTGTCCTCTGCGTGTATAACCCAAAGTCTTCATTCATCTCAGAGAAGTTAAATCTTAAAATGACTAAGCGGATCCGTTTCCATTTTAAATGATGCCAAGGGCACTACTGAAAAGGGGAAAACATGGTGACCTGAAGGAAAATGACGTCTGTTCTGTGAGTCATTTTTCTCTCTAGCTCCCGTGCCTTTGATGCACCCGAAAACTTCTGCATCCTTGAAGGCAAGAGCAGCCCACGGCAGCTTTTGGATCCAGAAGGATGCAAAACAACAGGGGTGGCTGGCGCGGCTGGGCAGCAGCAAGGGCTATTGCTGCAACTTGTGTAACTCGTGTGGACCGTGCTGAGTCATGTTCAGCAGCATCTGTGACATACCGCATCCACAAAGCAAGCACAGTATGATGCCCTTTCGCAGTCATTTTTCTACCCATCTCCACTCTGGAGACTGGTTTTGATCTTTTTATCCCTGGCCCAGGTGCAGGCAGGCTCAGCCCTCCCCTACTGGCTGCAGATAATGCTGACAATTTATGCAGCTGCTGAAGAACAGGCAATTTTTCAAACTCCTTTTGCACACACCTGGGGACCATCAGCTCAGGTAATGATAGATAACATTGCTTTGGCTGCCCAAGACTAAGCAATGGCTGCAAAATTTTCCAAGGATCTCAGTTATATATCCTGGAACTGGCTACTGCTGAGCTTATAACGCTGAACTCAAATGGACAGAGGGCTTAGGAAACACCTTGCGTAGCGTACAGGTAGCATGAGGTGCAGCTCTGAGAATAATGAAGGTGGCTTTCCTTTTGCTCAGGCTTGGGAGCACCCCACATTGGGAATGCGCCTTTGTGCCAGGGCAGCCCCGTGCCAGTGGTGCTAACCGGGGGGGAGCTGCGTGCTCGCACACACGCTGCAGCCATCCCCCCGGGCTCCGCTGCAGCTGACACACATTTCCTGCCTCGGCATAAGCTTGCAAAGATCATCTGAGGTACCTGAACGCCTTGTATAATCATGATTAACATGAGTGGAGAAAAGCCCTTTTTTAAAAACAGCACAGGACTTGATTTGCGCATACTGAGCGAGTGGCAGTAAACACTTCGTGTGTAGGATAAATCTGTCTGTCTTTCTGTGATAGCGGCTTGTAGGTGCTATTGTCACGCGCTAAAAATAATGTAATACAGTGAAAAAGTAAACTCAGGCTGCATTAGCACCTACCCACCCCACTACCTCCAGCACTGGTACTGAGCAGATGAAATGCTCTCGCAGTCTCTCTGGGCAGCCTGGCTTCTGACTATTGAGACCTATAGCTCCCCTCTGTATTGGATTTTAAAGTGAGGAGAGAGTGTCTGAGTTGAATTACTCAGCACAGCATTAGTTCAGTGTCTCTTGTGAGCTTCCTCCTGTGAGCAAGCAGGGGACAAACTCCCAGCTAGTTGTGTTTCCTTCCCTACCTGAACTCTTTTTTCATCGTTGTCAGCACGCCGGGTCCCTCGAGGCGGAGCATGACGTTCTCCAGGGTTTGTTTCAGAGGATTGGTGAATTCCACAGTCAGAGACGTTTCTTTATTTGCTACCATCTCACCTCGGGTCTGCAAGACAAGTTAAGGACAATGCTCCACAAGCTGATTATAATAAAATGCCCCACGGTGAAATCTGTAGGGTTAAACACACAGTACTTGCAAGGAAGGGGGGGGCGTGGGGAATGGAGCACACAGCAAAACAGCAGGAGGCAGAGAAAGCCTAGTCAGAAGAAAACTGTTGGATGGGCCCACAGGTACCACTGCAGATTTTTCTACCCATTGCAATTTTCCCTCAAGCCACAAGGCAAGTCAAGAGGCAGGCCCTCATTTCCATAGAAAAAAACAGAAACCTGCATGCACAGTCCTGGAGCTGAGTCTCCAACTGAGAGGGCCTCTTCCCCCCGTCCCCAAAGTGTTGTGCCCCCAAAGTGTTGTGCCCCAGCTTGCCCCTGCCTTGCAAACACCTCTTGTGCTCTGAAGGGTTTTTAAACCTGCGCCTGTGCTCTACGCAGACCTGAGAGCCAATTTTCCTCCAAAACCCTTACCTAGCAAAAACGCAATACATTTTGCACTGGAAAATATTAAACTGTGAGGCTAATGAACAGTGATTGCGTTGGCTTCCACTTGTATTACAGTACACAGCTGAAGGGTTCTGTCTATCCCTTCAGATCAGAGCTGGTAGTACAGCTGCCTGGAAAACACCTCCAAATGAACATGGTTTTAAACAAAGACTACATGCATGGGGATTTTGGTTTGGGTTTTTTTTTTCCCCCTAGAAACAGAACATTTCTCACAGAATATAAAAGGCTCAGGCAAGGGTTTTCAATTTACGGCTAGGAGATCCCAGCTGGCCCATAGACTACTTTAAAGGTCCTTGAGAAAGGTAACTAAGAAAAACAAGTATCTTCTCAATACCTTTAAAGTGCTGTGCTAGGGTCTGCAGCCCTACTGCAAATGTTTAAGGAGTATGACAGCTGCAAAAAGCTGGAACGACTCTGGTCTAAGGGATTATTCTGCACCAAATACTGATATATTGACTAGAGTAAAGAGTCAGATACTCGCAGCTAAGCTCTCAACAGCATTTGGCCACCTGACTTTGCAAAAAGACATCAGTGGCATTTTCAGAAGTCCTAGCCCCATCAAAGTCTTATGTCCTCCTTATTTCAGTTGTCTATTTAAGATCACTGTTACACGGGGGGGATTCAAAATCAAATTGAGCTCCCACACATGCAACTAAGACCATGATACGTATTTGCTGAGCTTATTTGTGTAACCTTGTCTCATGCTAAATTAGAATAAGGTGTAATTTCCTACACTGTTAACTATGACAATCTCCTTAGACCAACAGAGAAAGATCAAAGGTATATCTGAAGACAAGAAGGGAAAGATATTTTTTCATTCTTCTCCCTTACTCTCACATTAAGAACTCCAGTCTGCCAGTCAATTCAATGAAGAAATCTGACAAGAAATCTAGAGAGGTAAGCTTCTGCAAATTTCTTAAAAAAATAAAGCAAGGTTGCCTATGTAAATACATAGGTATATACATATGCGTGCACACACTCTCTCTCTTAAAAAAAATCCAGCTATTAAAATTTCAGGTTATTTTTACACATCACAAAGAAACAGAGAAGAGACAAACTCAGTTTTTCTAGAAGACATGGTTATTGGACAACAACCTGTCTCATACACTAAACGTCCTTTCTTCATAACAGCAGGGAGGATAAACTATTTTGAAGCTGAAATTTGGGATCCTGTATAAGATGTTCTGTTTAAGTATTGAATTGAAAGAACTCTCTACTTTCAAAATTTGGTTATTGAAGACAGGTATTCGAAGTAGATTTCATCTGTCTTGTTTACCTCCTCTCTAGAATGCTCAGTAAACCAAAAAAACTTTTATTTGAAAATACCAATAATCTGATCAGGTTGCAGTGACATTTCTGCAGACCATGAAATATTTTGCAAACTTCACTGTAGTTTTGATCTACATTTTTTAAAAAGCTTTTTCTGCAGAAGGCTGCTGTTTCAGGTTACTACATACATTATTATATGGAAACATGAACATTGGTTCAAATAAATATACAGGGGGTAAAAAGTCTATAAACTTAGATTTCTTTCAGGGTCTTGAATTTGAGAGAGCTGCATTCATGTTTATGTAATGCTTCCTGAACAGGTGTTTTGATTTATTTTTTTTTTTTTTTAGCATTAGGAAAAAAGCAGACCCAAATGACATCATTCAAAGCAGATGAAGGCTCAGCGCTTTTGAAAATGAGGCAATCTATTTGGATGCCCAGTTATGAATTCAGAACTCTAAATCTCAGCCCTGCCTTCGCCATACAACATAGGGTCCTTGTCCTACCACAAACATTATACTTCTACATTTTCATAGGTACCGTGCCACCGTCTGCAGAAATGCTTGTACTTTTGGGGAAGTGCACTGACAGAACATTCACAGAGCGGCAGCAAAGCACTGAAATCCTGAAAGCATCATCCCAAACGGGTGCTGCCACCCAAGCTTGGAGGAACTTGCCATAACGCCCGTAGGAGCTTTCCAAGCAAATTCACCTCAACAGTGATGTCCTTCATTCTTCAGCAAGAGGCCTCTGTGCTGTGTTGCTTTAAATATAACAGACTGCTGAAGTAGCTAACGACTTGAGTGACTTGAGTGAGTAACCTCTCCTATCCTTTGAGTTTCTGCAGCTTTCTCAGATCTTTTCCCTTCCTTCCTCCACTGAGATCACTTCAGCTCTCTACTACCGGTGATGTTGTCAGCCTCAGTCTTGACTGTAGGGATACTCAGTACAGTATCTAACACACCTATACACCCTTTCACACTCCAGCCAGGTGCTGCTTTATAAAGTCCATGTTAGACTGAAGGTCTGACATACATACACACACACACGTACACCCTCCCCATCCCAGAAGTCAAGGTGACAGCCTTGTAGAGAACAGCCCACATGCAGCATGGTGGTCGCTCCCCATCACCCCAGACCTGAGCTACCTTGATCCTCAGGGTGGGTATTTCCAGGACTGTCGCCTTCTGCATGGCCAGAATCTTCCCCGTTTCACTGATCCGTGCAGTCACAAAGAAATGAAAGGAGGCCTGGTCCAGCAGCTCACTCATGTACTCGCTCGATTTGATCGCAACATCAAAACTTCTGGCTGAGGAGAGAAACAGGAAAGAAAAAAGACGTCTGAAGCCATCTAATGGTTAGTTGCTCCTCCCATTGTGGCCAGTGCCAATTACACGAGTGCCTTGGAAACAAGGTGGCCCACCACCAAAGAATGACTTTTAATTTATTTTTCCCAAACTACCTTCATTTCTTTACCTTACCTTTCCCCCTCTTGTCTTGCCCTCTTTCCTTTTAGGCTGTGAGCTCCCTAGGGCAAGGGCTGGGTTTGTGCAAAGCCTCTGCCCAGTGCCTGTCACCATGGTCCCAGGTCACCATTGAAGGTTTCTAGACACTAACACAAAATAAGTGAGAAGCAAGACTGGTAATAAATAGCTACTGGGCACCAAGATCCAAATCAGCTTTTGAGTGTCTCTCCTGTAAATGTTTGCTCTTTCACTTTATCCCTGTGTTTTCTCTGTCACCAGGGATGTCACAAGAGCGGCCACTGGGGGTTGTGAGCCCATGCAGGCTACCTGGGAGACCATCTGCTCTCCAGGACATGTCTGGATACCTGCCTTTGTCCTACACTGGACTTGCCTGCAAAATTTAGCAAGAACGTCCTCCTGTCACCAGCATGCCCCCCGGAGAGCTTTCACATGCTCCCTGATGATAATTATTGGAAGGAACAAGTCCCCCTAAGCTAGGTGGTTGAGATGCAGGGAATTGTTAATTTTAGCCATATTGAACTGCAATTCCCAGGCCAACAATAGTGTAAGAATGTGATGCAGAGAAGCAGACTTGCTAATTAAGTGACCGGGCAGAATATACAGATCTGGAGCTCTTGCCTCTATAAACATTCATTATAACCCTAGTAAACATATCAAGATCTTCCATCTGTTAATCATGATTATCACTGTTATCCATTATTTGTATTGTGTTTGTGGCATACACTCAACACACTGAGATAACTGAACTCGGTTGAGTAAATGACATCCGCCCCTTTTCACTCTTTTGATCCACTCACATCAAAACCAGTTCCTTGATTTGGTTTCAAAGTTATTCCCTTGGTGACCACCTGACCTGGATTTGCCAGGCCAGCCTTAAATTTACTTGATGTGTTCCCCCTCCCTCCCTCCCTCCCTGTATCTCTTGTAAAAGGATTTCTCGTAATGCACTGAACTGTAAATTATAAATCAGGCAAGGTATTTCTCATCTCTGTAAAGTAAGTAAATAAATAAATAAATTAGTTACAATCGAAGACACATTTACTTTACAGTGGAAGGAAAGACGAACTTTTCTGTTTAGATTTAATCACCACAGGAAAAAAAAAAAAAAAAAAAAAAAAAAACTTCC